CCTACAGCAGATAACTGGTCAAAGAAACTTTGGTGCATCAACACAATGGAATATTATGCATATGTTAGGAGAGATGAAGTCATAAGTGTATAGACATGGAGAGTATCATGCTAAGTGAAATGAGTCAGAGAGAGAGGGACAGACTTAGAAGGAATGCACTTGTTTATGGAGTACAGAATAAGATTTACTTTTGTGCTTCAATGGCCGGTTGATTATCGCTTCACCAGGGATGGGGAAATGTTTTTCTGCCAAAGGCCCTTTGGATATTTATGATAACGGTCACAGGCCATACAGTGGTATAGTTCCGAAAGGTGGGTCACAGGTGGCCATCAAGAAGCACGTGTGTCTGTCCTGTCACATATCAGGCCCAGACCTGACTTCCTGGGCCTGTCTTGGCCTCAGGCTGACTGTCCTCCTCCCTGCCCTGGGCTTTGGGAGCATTCTGGAGCAGTGTAGCTCCTGACCTCTACTTTCTCATGGCCTCTGGGGCCTGCAGGCAGGAAAGTAGCAAGTCAGCAGAACTCAGACACACATTGCCATCCCAGAGGAAATGCCCAATGGTCTGTTGAAGCAGCCCTGTGCTAATACCCACCACTTCCTTGGCGTGCGGGAATTGGTAGCTGGCAGGGCCGGAGTCCACAGCTCAGCGTGATCTTCTGCCCTAAGTGCTGCGGGCAACATTTTGCAAAGCTTGAGGGTCCTGATGGGTAGTAACAGGCCAGCTTGTGTACCTCTGAAGTCCTTCGTTCACATCTGCCCACAACACTTTAAATGCTGTCTAGTTAGAAATAAAATATCTTAACTCTTACCTCCAAATTGACCTATATTACCAGTATTTGGAATGGTTTTTTTTTTTTTTCCTTTTTTTGAGTCACACCCGGTGATGCACAGGAGTTACTCCTGGTTTATGCACTCAGGAATTACTCCTGACGGTGCTCGAGGGACCATATGGGATGCTGGGAATAGAACCTAGGTCGGCTGCGTGCAAGGCAAACGCCCTACCCGCTATGCTATTGCTCCAGCCCCATTATTTGGAATGTTTAAAAAAAAAAAGTCATGTTAGTGTAAGCAGTGCAAGATATGATGAAAAAAAATAGACTGATATTTATAATACAGACAGATATGCTTTTGAAACTCTTTAAGTGCAAGATCAGCTGATAAACTCTTTGCTTATATTCTTTGGTTTGTCATCAGTCCTACGAACAGGGGACCTGCTCATCCACTCAGTGAATACTTGAGTGCCTATTTGGTGGAGCTGTGAGGATGCAGGGTGCATGAAGACAGGCCAAATCTCTGCATACCCCCGTAACTTATAAGGTAGTGGGTGCTGGACATGGCCCAGGGGGATCAGGAGGGCAGGATTAGAAAGAATCGTGGCGAGTAATTAAAGTCCTTTGTCACAGGATAGGATGGGGATAATAAGGCATAATTTCCAGAAGGAAAGACACTGAGCTCGCACTGAAGTGGGGTGAGCATGGGGACTTTTGGTGGGAGACATGGGTCTGCTGCCCCAAGTAGCTGCTTGCCTGGACTTAGTCTCTCAGTCTCTCCTCAGGTAGATGATAAAATATCTGGCAGGCTGACTCGGTGTCTTCTGGGTTCCCTGCTGCACCTAGCACAGAATAGGTACAGTAAATGTTCCTTGGCATGAATTCATGAATGGATAGACAAATGGCATCTGAATGGATGGTTAGAAGATGTGTAAGACATTACATCTTCCCTGTCATGTTTCTGGTGTCAATCATCATACACATTCATTGGTTAAATATATCTTGTGTGTAAAACCATCTGTCAGGGAATTTGAGATTGAAAATAAAAACTCACTCTAGCCTGGTACCCCTTAAGGAGCTTGGAATTTGTCTGTCGAGTGCATGAAGGCGCATACCCAAGAGTGGGAAACAGCTGAACGGCTTCTTTACCGGGCAGGTGTGGCTCCTTCCCCTCCGATCATCTGTTTCCTCGCCCTTCTCTCCTTGGGTCCGGGCTCCTCTGCGTGAACTGCAACTGCATTGCTCTGAGCTGGCCAGGGAGGTTGGGAGCAGGCCGTTGGGAGTGTGTGCAAAGGAGAAGCGAGCTCAGCTGGAACTGCAGAGAAAGAAGGCTAGGGGAGAGGACATTTGCTGACTGGCAATATTTTTCTTAAGGGTGACAAGCACCCTTTCTCTTAAGGGTGTCAAACAGAAACTCAGGATTTGGGTAAGTGGTTCGTGTGCTCTAGTGCTCTGTCCTCCAATCCTGTCTTTCCCCTCACACATTTGCCCGTCTCAGCACCAACCTGTGTTGCTGTGCTGCCGTTTCACAGATGTAAGCTGCGTTTCCCCCCCTTTGGGCCTTAGCTGTGTCGGGCAGAGATTTGCAGACATAACATCATTAACAGCAACGCGTTTACAAGATTTACCTATTCACCACTCTTCTCCCTACCCCCGAGTGAAAATCATAGCTTCTTTAATATCCTCTTGGCTGTGTGAAAAACAGGAATTTATGTAACAAGTCCTGCATAGCAAACCTTTTCCTGTTCGGAAAAAATTTTTTTTAATTGTTGGCAAAGTTAGACGGCAGCTCTATTACTCCAAGAGCGACCTGAAATGTCCTCTAAGAAAAATATGCAGCGTGATGTTTTGATAAGTTGGGGATTACTGTGGGCTTGGGGGGAGGGGGGAGATAAGACTAAACGTGCGTCCCACCCTAGTTACTAGTGCTTCCTGAACTTGGAAAAGATGACTTGTACCATCATCGAATGTTCTCTACTCTTGTTAAAAATGTCCCCCCAATCGCACTTGCAAGTGACCCAGGATAATGATGTGTGTTGTAGAGCTGCACCAGCCCCTCCCTCTTCAGTGCAGACAGTGGGAAGCTGCTATCTATGCTGATCTGTCCCCTATATCATTGAGGAAAAGTGAGCGCAACAGGAGTCAAGCTTCCTCCCCTCCAGAGATTTCATCGGAGCTTATCAGTGTCTATGTGTTCAACGAGAAAGATTGTCAAGGTGGAATATTGTGCAAGTGCCCAGACTGAGTGTGTAGAAAACACCGAAGGCTCAACCTCCTCAGACAGGCCAGCTTCTTTAAGGTGGAATTGAGAGTTTGATTTGAAGGTGTTGGTGGATTCAGCTGATGAGGTGTGGCTCTGGGGACCCTACGGATCTGTGTGTAAAACTTCCTGTGGTGTTTAGGAGTGAAATAGGACATGGACTACTCGGCTAGGGCTCGGGCTCTTTTAGGCCTCTTTACAGATCTTTGCATGGACTTCAAATTGTCCTCCAAGTTTCTCTTGTATTGGAAGTCTCGAACAACAGAAATTGGTTGCTGCCAGGTAGCTATGCAGAGGACCAACACCCCGCCCAGAACGCCCCCTATTCTGCCCCATCTAACCCAGTGCAGTATAACCTGACAGAAGGGCTGGTCTCGTAGCTGCTGTGTTGCAATCCCGGGGTGGAATGTAGAACAGAGGGTCAGAGGGCACTTGGGGATGTGGATGTCTTAGCCCTGATGAATCAGATCTGGGTTCTATTTCTTTTAGAAAGTGAGAATCGGTGTTCCGTCTTCTTCTCCTCCTCCCCTTCTGTTATTTCTTTTCTTTTTCCATCTTTCTCTTCTTTCTTCCCCTTCCCACCTTTTTGTTTTCTATTCCCTGCATTTATTTATTTATTTTATTTATTTATTTTTGCAGTCTTTGGGCCACACCCAGTGGTGCTCAGCACCTACTTTTTACTCTGTGCTCAGGGATCATTCCTGGCAGTGCTCAGGGGATCCTGTGTTGGGTTGAAGGCCTAACTCAGATTGGAATCTACAAGTTGCCCTTTTTAAAAAACTCAGTTTCTGAGTGGTGTATTTGTCCAAGCTAGTTATTGAGCTGTCCTTGATATTGAGATTGATTGAAGCCTCGAGTTCTTTTAATACAGTGCATGATGTCTGATATCCTGGGGCTGTTCTTGCACATTACTGGTTATTCTTGGGAGCAGGGGAGTAAACATCATTTGACTATAATACCCCCATAGTTGGTCTAACTTTCTTAAAGAAAAAAGATGCTGTTTTCCTTACTTTCCTAACTAAGATATATATATATAAAATATATTACATATATATATATATATATATATTTGCCTTTTGGGTCACACCTGGCAATGTACAGGGGTTACTCCTGGCTCTGCACTCAGGAATTACTCCTGGCGGTGCTCAGGGGACCATATGGGATGCTGGGAATCGAATCTGGGTTGGCCACATGCAAGGCAAACACCCTACCTGCTGTGCTATTGCTACAGCCCCTAAGATATATTTCCTTAATATATAAATTTTACACACTACACTTGATCTTAGCCAAAAGGCCGAGAAGCGATAAAAGCCAATGTTTCCCAAAGTGGGTAATCATGCCCCTGAGGGGCCAATGGGGTGGGGGGAGAATTGTAACTTTGTATGGAATTGGGGGGGCCTTTTTTTTTTTTTTTTGGCTTTTTGGGTCACATCCAACGATGCTCAGGGCTGACTCCTGGCTCTGCACGCTGGAATTATCCCTGGCGGTGCTCAGGAGACCATATGGGATGCTAGGAATTGAACCTGGGTAGGCCGTGTGCAAGGCAAACACTCTACCCACTGTGCTATCCCTCCAGCCCCTCTTTTTTTTTTTTTTCCAAAGAAAAAAATAGAAGGTAGATTTCCCGGAAGTCACTGAGTAATCTGCCCACCCCCCCCAAAAGGGTAGGGGGCAGTGGTCCAAATAAATTTGGGGGCTGCTGATGTAAATGAATTCGATTTTGATGAATTCAATCTTGATAGCTTTTGGTCTTTCAGTTCTTAACCAGGAGTACGTTTTGACTATGACTTTGCCATAGTCATATAGGCTCAGCAGTGCACAGCTTCTCACGCTATACAAATGGATATGTGCGACCTCAGGGATTTGACAGTCGTGTGAGGAGCTATAGAATAAGTAGGAATGTATATATAACAGTAAATTTTCTAAGGAGGAGGTTTCATTTCTCTAACATGATGTGTTTTTCTTTACAGAATTCAATTCGTCATAATCTGTCTCTACATAGCAAATTCATCCGAGTGCAAAATGAAGGAACTGGGAAAAGTTCTTGGTGGATGCTCAACCCGGAGGGAGGCAAGAGTGGCAAGTCCCCCAGGAGAAGAGCAGCGTCCATGGACAACAACAGTAAATTTGCTAAGAGCCGCGGCCGAGCTGCCAAGAAAAAAGCATCCCTGCAGTCTGGCCAGGAGGGCGCTGGGGACAGCCCTGGGTCTCAGTTTCCTAAGTGGCCCGCAAGCCCCGGCTCACACAGCAACGATGACTTTGACAACTGGAGTACATTTCGCCCTCGAACCAGCTCAAATGCTAGTACTATTAGTGGGCGACTTTCCCCCATCATGACTGAGCAGGATGACCTTGGAGACGGGGATGTGCATTCAATGGTGTACCCACCGTCTGCTTCAAAGATGGCCTCCACTCTGCCCAGTCTGTCTGAGATCAGCAACCCCGAAAACATGGAAAACCTTCTGGATAATCTCAACCTCCTCTCCTCGCCCACGTCATTGACTGTTTCCACCCAGTCTTCGCCTGGCAGCATGATGCAGCAGACACCGTGCTACTCCTTTGCGCCGCCCAACACCAGTCTGAATTCACCCAGCCCAAACTACCAAAAATACTCGTACGGCCAATCCAGCATGAGCCCGTTGCCTCAGATGCCTATGCAAACCCTTCAGGACAACAAATCAAGTTACGGTGGCATGACACAGTATAACTGTGCCCCGGGGCTCTTGAAGGAGTTACTCACTTCGGACTCTCCTCCCCATAACGACATCATGACACCAGTTGATCCCGGGGTGGCCCAGTCCAACAGCCGAGTCCTGGGGCAGAATGTGCTGATGGGTCCGAATCCAGTCATGCCCTCTTATGGCAGCCAGGCATCTCATAACAAAATGATGAATCCCAGCTCCCATACCCACCCTGGACACGCTCAGTCAGCATCTGCCGTCAATGGGCGCGCCTTGGCCCACGCCATGCCCCACCCCTCGGGGATGACCCGCTTGGCCCCTGTGAAGACAGCTTTACAAGTGCCTCTTTCCCACCCCATGCCGATGAACACACTGGGGGGCTACTCCTCAGTGAGCAGCTGCAATGGTTATGGCCGGGTGGGCCTCCTCCACCAGGAGAAGCTCCCGAGTGACCTGGATGGCATGTTTATTGAGCGCTTGGACTGTGACATGGAATCTATCATTCGGAATGACCTCATGGATGGAGATACGTTGGATTTTAACTTTGACAATGTGTTGCCCAACCAAAGCTTCCCACACAGTGTCAAGACAACCACACATAGCTGGGTGTCAGGCTAAGAGTCACTGAGCGGGTAAGTTTTCCCCAAGATCAGACTTCCCTGAAAGTAAAACTTAGAGGAACACAGACATGTCATGTATCTTCAGGGTTATGACTTGAGTAAGCTGCCCCTTAGGAAGAGTCATCTTTAATTATTCATCTCCACCCCTTTTTGCAGCTTATAAAATTTTCCTTTTGAATCCAAAAGTAAGCCTCCTAACTGTTGGAAAGATATTTTTTTCTTTTTTCTTTTTTTTTTCTTTTAGGGTCACACCCAGTGGTGCACAGGGGTTACTCCTGGTTCATGCACTCAGGAATTACTCCTGGCGGTGCTCAGGGGACCATATGGGATGCTGGGAATCGAACCCGGGTCAGCCACGTGCAAGGCAAACGCCCTACCCGCTGTGCTATCACTCCAGCCCCAGATACTTTTTTCATAGTCAGAATGACTGCGTTTTTTTTTTTTTTTTTTTTTTTTTAGTATAGCTTCAATAAATGAGTATTTGGGATACAAATCAAAAATTTATTGTTGTGTGTGTGTCTTTATAGTGGAATTTTCCCATAGGATGATCACAGAGCTGTGGGAGCTCACTCTCCCCGTGTGCTCTCCTCCTAATACGTCTATCATTCTTAATGCATTAAGTTGAATTGATGTGAATTCGGCTACATTTTCATTTGTGTTTTTTTTTTTTCCTCCTTCTAGGTTATGCTTAAAAGTACTTAAGATTGTCTGACAGCAGGAACTGAGGGAAACAGTCCAAAGATGTCCTTCACCCCTCCTTTTCGTTTTCTTGATTAAAAAAAAAAGCGTTTCTTTTTTCCTTTCGTCAGACTTGGCAACGAAGACACTTTTCCTGTACAGGATGTTTGCCCCATGTTTGCAGGTTATGTGCTGCTGTAGATAAGGACTGTGCCATTGGAAATTTCATTACAATGAAGTGCCAAACTCACTACACCATAGAATTGCAGAAAAGACTTTTCAGATCCTGGTGTGCTTTCAAGTTTTGTATATAAGCAGTAGCTGCAGAATTGTATTTGTATGTGTGTGTATTTTTTTTTTTAAATCTCCATTTGGTCCAAGAAAAGTTTATACTCTTTGTAATACTGTGATGGTCTCATGTCCTTGATAAGTTAAACTTTCCTTTGTACTACCTGTGTTCTGCTGAACTGATGAATCACAAAGAACTTAGTTCTCCATTCTGCACCTCTGTTGAACAGTTTTGACCTACTCATACTGCCACATAATTCACATGAGAACCAGTAGCCTGTTATCAATCTGCTGAACTAACGGACTTGTCAAACTCTGGGGGGTAGGGTGGGGTGGTTTTAAATGCCAGCCTTGTACAGGTCTTTTCTATTTTTTGGTTTATTTTTGTTTTGCAAATTTGTACAAACATTTAAATGGTTCTAATTTCCAGATAAATGATTTTTGATGTTATTGTGGGGGACTTGAGATCATTTTGGAATAGATATTGAATTGTAATGTTTTCTTAAAACTAGAGTCTACTTTGTTACATAGTCTGCTTGTAAATTTGTGGAATCCCAGATATTTGAGGCAGCATCCGTAATTTTCCTTTTGTATTTCTAACTGGATTAGTACTAATTTTATACATGCTTAACTGGTTTGTACACTTGGGATGCTGCGTGGTGATGTTTCTGACTAATCTTAAAATCGTTGTAATTAATACTTGCATACTCAATGTTTATGGCCCTATTTTGACAGGCAAGTGATGTATAGGTATAGACATTTTGCGTGTCATGTTTAAGAGAACTAAGTATGTTTTTTCATGTATGTGTTCTAAAGAAATGTCATCAGCTTTTTTTCATCCTGTGAACTGGGGGCACCACATCGCAGTACGTCTTTCTCACAGATGCCTGAATGCCGAGAGGTTTCACTTCCTCCCGTGAGGCCTTGTGCTCTGTGCAGATCAGAAAGGGTGGGCCTGTGTCTCAAATTGTACTCCTTGCTCAGCTCATTTTTTAAGTTGAACTTCAGCCGAGTTTTCCCACCTACTACCATGCTCTAATTTTGGCTGGGGCGGGAGCTTTGTCTTCAGCTTTTACCTATAAGGATTAGGCGAAGCCCCGGATTCCATCCTCCTTTCCTTACCTGGCATAGTTCTTAGCGTGCTGTGGAAGTTTGAGTTCAAGAAGGAAAATTTTTTTTAGTGGGACTCGTGATTTATAGAATGTTTTATGTTCATGAGTGCAAATGGCTACCAAATGGAAAAGAATGTGTTTTAAAATGGGAGCAATTAATCAAAAAAAAAAAAAAACACTAACCAGATCTAAGCTGTATATTTGGATATAGTTAAAAGCCTTTTTCAAAGTACAAAATTGGAGCATTTCTTTAGCCTTTTACAACCTAAACTATAATTTTGACCATTAAGTTTTAATACTCTCCAATTACCCATAACTGACAGACCTAGGTAATTGGTTTTCCTCCCATTGAATCCATCAGTATTCTCAGGTCACGTGGAATGCCCCAAACCAACAGGATAAAAGGAACAGGTGCACAGAAGTGTTCCTTTTGCCTTCTCCAGAAGACTCCGATTTGTATGAATTCAGCCCAGATCACACTCACTTTTTTTTTGTCCTGCATGTGAATCGCATCTCTGCAGGCTCAGCATCATCCTACAGATGTAACAGAAACACAGGTGTATCTGTCAGGCTTCCCAGAGGCCAGCTCTGTTGGAAATTTCCTGCTGGGGTACCTGTTTGGAAAACTCGTCCAGCAGCCTCTTTCTGGCCATCTTTGTTGCTGGCTGCCCCCAGAGGTGTTTGGTTTGAGACATCTTCAATCCTCCCACATTTAGATGGGATTCTTTGGTGCCAGAGTACTTCTGTCATTCCTGTTCTCTGCTGCCCCTCCTCTCATCCCTTTCCTTACATAGTGAGCCTCAGAGCGCGCACGCCCCCCCCCCCCCCCCCCCCCCCATTTCTTCCTCAAAGAAGCAACTACTGCTAAAATCACTGTTGAGATCTTACTACTTGGATGTTTCTTCCTCCTCGGTCTGTGTAAATATCCCCCCCGCCCCCTCCCAGGTTTTCTTTTGTGTTGAAATTCTGACATGAATCCTGGGTACCTCTCCTGGGGTACAGTGAAGTCCAGTGAAAAAGCACCTTGTCTGTTTTGAAAGCAAACATTATGTGACCTCTGGTAATCCTTTTTCTGTACGAATACTGACTTTCTGGAATAATTAGTATATCAGTTATTGTACATGATTGCTTTGTGAAATGTGCAAATGATATCACCTATGCAGCCTTGTTTGATTCATTTCCTCTGGTTTGTACTGTTATTAAAAGCATATTGTATTATAGAGCTATTCAAATATTTTAAATATAAAGTATTGTTTCCGTAATATAGCTGTATGGAATATATTTAGGTAATAGACACATGACTTGCAAAGGTCTACTTCGACAGGCTAAGTCTCAATTCATTAGCAAATGTTGTATCCCAGCGAGCAGTAAATCAGTGGACAGCCCCAAGAAGAGGAGAAGGGCATGTAGAATGGAAACAGTTCCCCAAAGATCTCAAATTTGGACTTACCTGCTGAATGTTACCAGGACTGCCCCTGACCCTTGCCCCACCCCCACCCCCCTCCTGGAAATCTTACATTCAGCTCCTAAGCATTCTACATTTAGAACTGACTTCGGAGCACATGCTTTTCCTGGTGGTTTGAATTTGAAAGTAATTATTCGGTTAAAAAATCAATGTGGTTCATGAAAACAAACCTGGCCTCCTCCTTGAGGGTGGGACACGGTCTGGGGATGTGGCAGCCGTGGCCACCTGAGTCCTGTCAGGACAAGTCACGCCCTCCTGCATCTTGTTCCTTGAGTTCAATAACAGTTCAAATTCCATATTCCAGTTCTGATACTCTCAGAGAAGTGCCTGATGACGCTGATGTACTTACAGACACAAGAACAATCTTTGCTATTATTGTATAAAGCCATAAATGTACATAAACTACGTTCCAGTGGTTTGGTGTCTTTCTTTTCTAATGGTGCAAAACTAAGCTCTTAATTAGGATTGAAAGAAGATGGAGCTCTCAGCTTGAGTTAAGCCTGGTCAGCCATGGTGCCTTGTTTATCAAATCTGGTGTTTCCTTTGAACGCTGAGGGGATTAGTCCCACTGGGTTTACACCACAGCCCCTGTGTTGGGGAACAAATGAAATCCCTGATAATAGACAACTCTGCGCTACTTCATCTTTGGAATGTCTGAGACGCCACCGAATCCCATGTCAGAACGCACCAGGCTGAAAGTCAAGTCATTGGAAGGGAAATTGGGAGGGGCCTGTCTAGGAGGGCACTGAGCAGGCATAGCTGGCATGGGGGCACCAGAACAAGGGCTCTGAGTAGGCATGGGATGGCATGGGGCATCAGGACTTTGGGAGGGCGCTCGCCCCCTTTTAGCACCTATTCTGCCGCTCATTGCAGATTTTTGTATTTGATCTTTTCAAATATTGCCCACAGAAAAAGCCCAAGGAACGAGGATTAGATTAATAGGATTAAAATCCTTTTTAAAGCCAGGGCAAAGCCTCACTTTCCTTGTTTCTAATGGTTTTGCTAGGCTAAAGAATAGGAAAGGCGTCACAAGAAATAGATTATTCTAAGGTTTATCTGTTGAGATACCAGAAGGTCAGTGTAGTGTTTAGGGCTTGTTTGTTTTGGCCCCCTTTCAGCAGTGGGAATCTTTTTTTTTTTTTAAGAAGACATGATAGGCAGCAATTCAGACACAGTTCCAAGCTCCCACTCCCAGATGCTATGGCTCATGTACAGATCACTTTGAAGACTGTTAGCCCAGCACAGATGTAGAAGACGGCCTTTCTTGTACCACTAGTCAACGATTTCCTTCTCTAAACCCGGTATATTTGCTCACAAAATCATGTTGCTAATGTTAACTACCGAGTCCTGTTTCCAAGTTTTCCATGACTTGATAAGGGGAAGCAACACAGCAGGAAGGTTTTCCTGACTGTTCAGGGAAAGGGAGAGATTTCCTTCTTTGTCCAGTATCTAGGCCCCTGCCACGACTGGAGAGTTGATGAGCAGTCAGGATGTGTACTATGAATTCTTTCTTGATGCCGAACCAGCAAAGGACTGGTGTGTTGTTTAGCCTCACCTGTTGTTTCTCCTCTGATCTGACCTGAGACAGTGGGTGCTAGTTGGACCCTAGTTGGGTGCTAGCTAGCATTGGTGTGGTTAGGTGGGGGGACAATTTCAAGAGCTTCAGAAGTAATCACTGTCACATTGTCCTTGCATCCTCTGTTAATGATCATTACGGGTTCATGACCTTTAACACGAGCGTATCAAGGCTGGAGAGAGTGCAGGGGTAAGCCACTTGGTATTGCATGCACCTGATTCCGGTTTGATTCCTGTCACCATGTATTGACAGCAGTGCCAGGAGGGATCCCTGAGCCAGGAGTAAACCTTCAGCACTGTTAGGTATGGCCAGCCCCAAAACCACACCAAAGAAAAAAAATGGAGAGTAGATCCACAGTAGGTCTCCTTATTCTGTTGATACAAGAACTTGGCACATGGTCTCATGTCAACATGAGGATGTTTTCTATTTCAACTGGAAAATGAGTTAAGTGTTTGGAACGCTGAAGGAGCTGTATTCCAGCCTCAAGGAAGACGATAGGAAGTCCTTGGTAGTAGCTAAGGGGAGGTGGGAGATTGAGGTATGACTACATGCCTTTGGGTCATGCGGAGGGAGCCACGGAGTGGTATGCATCTCTGAAATGGAAAAAGGTTTTTGTTTCTCCAGGTGGCCTGATGCAGAAGGAAGATTGGAGCAACTTTCTCAGGTTAACTTTGTTTTTGGACCACACCTGCTCTGGGGTTTTTCTCAGCCGTGTGTGGGGCGGGTGGGGGGAGGGGGGGGAAGGAACAGGGACCATATTCAGAGCCAGGAACAGCCTCATGCAAGGTAAATGCCTTAACCTTTGTACCACCTCTCTGCCCCAAGTTGAGTTTTAAATGTTAATTTTTTGCACTTGGAAACCACACCCAACAGCATTTGGAACCAGCCACAGTGGCAGGGGTTGGACATGGGGCTCCTGCATGCAGAGCATCTGCTCCAGGCTTTCAGGCTTTCTCTGCTAACTCTTCTTCCCAGGTGGCAGGGTAACCTCCCTTTTCCACTCAGTAGTCATGGTGGTCAATGAACTTGAGACTAAATTGAAAATATTTTATAAGTTTCTTAAATTATTAACAAGCTGAATTCAACAGTTCATCAAAAAAGTTCATACACCATAACCAAGTAGGATCCATCCTAGGATTGTAAGGATGGCTACATATACGCAAGTTGATCCACACACTATACCATATCAATATAAGGAAAATTAGAAATGTTTATTGTGTTGGCATTTTTCAAAATGGAAGCTTTACTTGCACTGGTGGTCACTGGTAGAGAAGTAGAAGTTTACATTCTACAGGATAAAGAGGACAACATTGTGAGGAGCGATAGCACAGCAAGTAGGGCGTTTGCCTTGCACGCAGCCGACCCAGGTTCGATTCTTCCGCCTCTCTCAGAGAACCTGGCAAGCTACTGAGAGTATCCCGCCCCCACAGCAAAGCCTGGCAAGCTCCCCGTGACACATTCGATATGCCAAAAACAGTTAACAAGTCTCACATTCATTCTTGGGATTGTGGATGGGGAACACTGTTCTGGGGACCAGTCCTGATGATGGATGACCAGCTGGGCCAGACGGCACTAGGTGAAGGGTGAGGATGTGTTCTGAGGGCTGTACCATGGTGGTCAGAGTCCCCCAGGACTGCTTCTAGTGATTACCAGGTTCCTTGGGGTCTTAAGGATTGGACTGGAATTGCTGTATTGTCTTCCAGCTTCCTGTTAATTTATAAGTTCCAGTTTCACATAAACATTTCTCCAAATTCCCAAAGTCAAAAGTTGCTAAGTCAAAAGTCCAAACTCAGAGATAGCAAATGCCAACCTAGCAGCCATTTGGGATGTAGTTCTGGGATTTATACACATCCTGGCCTCTGACAACTAAAATTGCTGACCCAGTGGTACAGTTGCTTAGGATAGGGTTGGAACAATAGCACAAAGGTTTGGCGTTTACCTTGCACGCGGCCAACCCAGGCTCCATTCCTCAGTCCCTCTCATGAGAGCCCAGCAAGCTTCTGAGAATATCCTGCATGCACCGAGAATATCCTGCGCGCACTGCAGAGCCTGGCAAACTCCCCATGGGGTATTTGATATGCCAAAAATGGTAACAAGTCTCATGATGGAGACAGTACCGCTCGAGCAAATCGATGAACAACAAGAGGACAGTGCTACAGTGCAGACAGGGCTCACACCAAACTGTTTTGAACACTTTTCTCTGAGGAATTTATCGGGAGAAATACAATTTGCAAGTTCTATTTTTTTTTTTTGGAGGGGGGACCATACCTGGCTGTGCTCAGGGCTTACTCCTGCCTCTGTGCTCTGGCATCTCTTCTGACAGGGCTTGGGGGACCATACAGGGTGCTGGGAATTGAACCCAACTTGGCCGAGTGCTGAGCAAGCACCCTACCCTTGGGAATAGCACTCTGGCCTCTCCCCTTTGCATCTTCAAAACAAGTTTGGTTCCAGTGCAAGCAGAGATGCTTGCTGCTGGGTCTGTGCTGCTAGTCGGCCACTCGGGCTGTATGACCACGAACCTCTGATGCTTGGACTGGATTGCCCCATAGAAAATGACAAGTTGAGAAGACCTGCTACCTGCCTTGTAGGCTGGATGTGAGGATTCGAGGATGAGGTAATGTCTGCTAAGTGGCTTCCTGTGTCAGGCAAGAGGGCTGTGGTCTCACTAGCTGTGTCAGTGTAGGTAATAGTAGGCTTGGGGGATTGGTTTCCTTAAAGGTGGGGCTTGTGGGCAATCAGCATTTCCCTGCAGGATAAGTGGGGAGAGGGCTGGGTTCTGTTGTCATGCTTTTCTCTCTCTTCTACGGGCAGTCCTCCATCTCAAAAAACCAAGTGCTTGGACAGTTTGCCAAAGCATATCTCAAGAGAGCTTTAGCTTTCTCTTGCTAACTACAAGTGCTTAGTAAACCCACATTGAATGCCCAGAGTAAATGAATCATAGTATTTCTTGGGAAGTTTCCTTTGGACCCATACTAAGACATTTCAGATGAGTTCCCCGAGTCTTTCTCACATAGGACTCTGGAAACCCCAACACCTATTAGGCTGACCTATAAAATAGGGAAAGAGAGGAGAGAGGAAGAAAGGGGGCATAGGGTGAGCTGGAACCTGATCACCCAGTTTGGGAGAACTGACTCCATTGGCAGGAATTTTGTGAGTTGGTTTCCAGTATCACCATTATTAAAATTTGATTAAATATGAAAACATTATGCCTGTATGGGGCTGGTGCCAGAACAATTGCATAGCAGATAAGACACCTGTCTTGCACATGGTCAACCTGGATTCAATCCTCAATATCCCATATGGTCCTCTGAGCACAGCCAGGAGTATATTCCTGAGTGTAGAGCTAGGAATATCTCCTGAGCATCGCCAGGTGTGGCCCCGGAACAAAAAGATATGGCCGGGTATGGACCCAGCTATAGATTTCATATCTGGCATCACATAGAGTAATAAATACTAAAACTATGTGGGTGCCACATAGAGTAATAAATGCTAAAACTCATGATCTTATGTAACTACACTGCACTCGTGACACATCTATGTTGATTATGTCTGTGTTGGAAATCCTATTTGGACCTGAACAAAATTTTAAGGATGACAATTTGAGGGTGAAAAAAAAATCATTATACAGTCAATTAGTTAAGTTTGTTGGCGAACATAAACTTGCCGAGAGAAGTTAGTGGGTTGGATACAAATCAATTTGTCTGATGTTGGTTGAATTGCCATCGTATGTTGGCTGTAAAAGAAAAGAGTTCAGCAAAAACTCATGAAAGCGTTCTCTTGAGAGTTGGACCAATGGGATAACCAGTAGGGTTCTGTGTATTTGGTGATGGGTAAATTGTG